ATTCCTTAACAATAAGAAAGGCTTTGCACCATTCTCCTGCTGTCCATCTTTGTCAAGACTTAGGTTCAATACATTAGATGAGTTTCTTTGCTGTCTTTTTCTGTAGGACTAAGCGATTTTGCCCAAAAGAATTTGCATTTGTTTTTTGCCAAAATTGCAATTGGGGTGAAATTTGATTTTCCTTCACACCAATCAGAAGCATGTAGGTGTTCTACCCCAAGTTTCTCAAGTTGGACCTTGTCCAAAGACTCTGTGATTGAGACCTTACTTCTTCCAGCATAGTTCTGCAACATTTGCACCTCTCTATTGCCTTCTGTGTTGCAGGAAACCCACTCTAAGTGCATTTCTGCCACTTAAGGGGCTGGAGTGAGAAAGACATTGTCTTACTATTGGTAAATATAATGTAAAAATGTGAAAATCGAATAAATCTGCAATTTTAAAATGGTGTTTTTTTAAATTGAGATTAAACTGTAGATGCAATTAATTGCTCAGCCCAAATGTTGCGTCACAATTGCAATCTTTCAAGTGTATTTTTCATTGGACACCTTATGTAGATACTCTCATACCTGTCTGCCACTGGTTCTGAACAAGCTCTGCACTGGTGGAAAAAAGTCTATTACTTTGTCTTGAAAATATGCTGCTCTCCTGATATTTTTTAACATACGGAAACCCTATAACTCTAAGGCTTCCCTGCCTTAGCCTGCATTTCTGATACAGAGTTATTTACAGCAGTGCTCTTAAAGGCCATTTTGAGGCAAAGTGATAATGATTGGAAACTTTCCTTGAAATGTAATTATTGCAACAATGATTTCCATTACATCTGTGTCTCTTTTAAAACAATTAACCCTAAAAGTTTTTGTAATTTTTCCCTTTCTTTAAATTATTGATCACAGTGTATAAAGATAGCTAATGATTAAGTGCCAGGACAAAATGGATCCAAAGAGAGCTATTGATTGGAAGTTTTCAGCTCATACAACTCTTAACAGGGTATTTATTTAGTTTGATATTCTGTTGGATACAGTCTAATCACAAGTTTATTATAATACAACTAAAATTTTACTTTTAATATTAATCCAAAAAAGTAACACTTCTTTTCACTGGTTTGATCTTTTTATTTGATCATATTTTGGTTGTTTTTGACAATATAATCAAACCCTTATTAAAGGCGGTCTGGTTGAAATCTTTGATGTGCGATATGATGCTTAGCGTTCAGATCAAAAGCACGTTCAAATGTCCCATTAGAGCCCAATTGGAGATAATGAGGGTTCACATCTTTACAAAAACATCATCAGCAGATCTTTAAGCAAAGCTTAAAAAGCCAGTGTCTTATGGCATTTTTTTTCTTCCCGTTTTTATTTTTTTAATGGTACTATTTTGCATTTGTGCTGGACAATGTTATAGCTCTTCAACAATGGCTACTTTTCATATTGCGGCTCATTAGTTCAGTGTAATTACAACTCGATCCATCTCACTGCCCTTCCTTATTGTGGCCTCCATCTCTCAGCTTCTGCTAATGGGCTCTTACAATGGCTACGTGTATGTTTTAAATGAGAGCAGGGGAGTGAACATTAAAGATTAGCGCTCAAACTCAACTCACTCATTTTGCATTTCGTCTTTAGGTTTCCCTTTAATTACCAAGCTGGTAAAGGATTGGATGCTTCTTACATAATTATTTTTGGATTAAAACATGGATTAATGTGATTATGTGAGTCAATGATGATGTATTGTTTAGCCAGGCTCTCACAACTATTGCATTTCCTGATTGCTTGTTTGTGCGTTAGGTCAGAATCTGAATTGATGGATTTTGAGTTCAATTATAAAGAAATTTCTTCATTTAAATTATACTGATATCTCAGGTATCTCTGCTGTAGTGTGTGAACTACTAGTCTTTTCCCATAATGTTTAATATGTTTGGAAAAACAGAGCTTGCCCAACAGGTGTTTCACAGGATTTACATCTAGGAGCTGAGATGGCTGCAATCAAAGGCTGACTTTGTGTTTAGTGAATTAGTTTTGTGTTGAGTGGGCATTGTTTTCCCTTATCAAATCCTTTTCAATGTGTCCACAGGTGAGGTTGGAATTTAGATAATTCACTGAGTTAACAGCTGTAATTTTTGACTTATCTTCGTTGTTCTTTAGAAGAAATTGAAACTGTGTTGGCCAGACTCTTCTCTTCCATCCTCCCATCGTGTGTAAAGACACCAAATGCTTGAAATTTTCCCATTAGATTTGCTGGACTGATGGAGGAGTCCACCTTCATTGACTGACTCTTTTCTTGTTTTTATTTTTTATTTTTTTAACCTTCACCTGCAAACAGTCCATGCTGAAAGTCAAGACTTAAAGACGACAACAAAATGACATATTTGGCTAAAACAATGAGGAGCTTTTACGTTTGTGTGTTTTGTGGATCAAGAGAACGCATGGGCCAATGTCTCCAGATGCATTTTGTAGGAGGTTAGATCGTCCTACAGGGTCCTGGGAATGGTCCTCTGTATAATCAAAGCAAATTCTCTGTCTGCAATCTTGGCTACTACCTAGTAGTTGTTGAACTAAAGTCAGGGGTGCATCCTCAGTGATGTTGAGCGTGGCATTCAAAAACTGGATCTGGAGGTGTAATGGTAGAGACAGAGGTGGAGGGTCTCCTCAGAATCACTTTCTCAGATGGATGTGGATGAAATCCACCCTGTTCCTCTTACATTACAGGTTTAACAGTAAATGATTCCTTCTCAATTTTGCTTCAATTTTTTTTTTACCACTTCTCTTCAAAGAAAAGTCTGACCAGCGTCTATTATCATCTATTATCTGAGAGTCACATCACTGGGTTTAACTTCTTTCTTAACCCAAACACAATACTTCACTTCAAGATAATAATCATCTACATTAATTTTTCTACCATACCTTCCCAGCTTTATTCTTGCCCTGTGTGCCTTTAATTTCTTGTTTTCTGTTTTTTCTGTTATGGGGCAGGGGTATAGTGGCAAAGTGGGTCATAGTAGCTCCATTAGTTGGGTAAAAGAAAAAGTCTCACTCTGTAGCGTAGCATCATTTGATGCCTGCGGCACCAACATGACAGCAAAGCCAGCTGATGGACTTTAGGGAGCAATCAAGAACCTTATGAACTAACATTTCCATAAAGGGTACCCCGGAAAATGCAAGAAATAAATTCAATAAGTAAATTGAAATGCATCACAACTGGGAAAGTTTCCTCGTTACAGTTTCTTTCACACATAAGAAAACCAGCAGGCGGATTGATCTTATGTGGGGCTGATTAAACAAATGGAGCTAAAACTGAATTGCATTTTCTATCTACATGACAGCAAAAGAGGGAAAAACAAAAGAAAACAAAACCTTGGCCTCATTTGCTTTGAACTAGTGCAGCTCTGACAGATTTGATTTGTAGCTATGAACTTGGCTCCCTGCTAAGTTTCAGGCTCCACTGTGCTTTAAGAACAGAGTACACATCTCTTGCACTTCAGCTAAAATTGGTTCTTTATATGCAATCAACCAAGTAAGGCTCTATTTATAGTTATTTTTTTCAGTTCTGTTGCAAACTGTAAAGTGAGCAAGGGTCTTTCATTTTGTTACTGGGACTTACTTCTATTAAACCTCAACATCTTTGATTCTCATAGCCTATTATTCTATATTGAAAAGTTATAATAAAGTCTAATAACAAAATATTGACTTTTATAACAACAATCCCAGTATTTATGTCCCTTATTTAATTTTAGAAGAGTTTTAAGCCACTACTCAATAAGTAAGTTTTTACTTTAGTTGTTTACAGTTGTCCATCAGTTAGGGTTCAGATGATGATGATGTGGCTTGAAGCTTGATAAGTGTAGCTGTAGTTTTGTTGTGTTTAAAAGCCGTTGCTCTGTCACACCCCCACCATGGACTGTTCTCTCTGCTGTCCTCTGGAAAGAGGCTTTGCAGCATTCGATGCAGGTCCAGCAGGTTCTGAAACAGCTTTTTCCCCGCTGACATCAGACTGTTGAATGTTGAACTCTAAACTGGACTCTGCATCAGATTATTTTGCACTACCAATGTTTAAATAGGACATAACTTAAGGTTTCTATTGCAATTGCACCATATTCATTTAGCACTGCCCTGAACTTTTTCATATTAATGCCCTTTTGCACCATTATTTTAAACTGGTTTCTTTTTCTCCTACATTGTTTACATTCTGATCACTCCTGCACTTTATATTGGTAATGTTTATCTTACTCCAACTGCAATATAATTTCACAGTTGTAAGCTGTGTGCAAAAAAAATTGTTTTGTATACACTGTGCATAAAAAAAGGACAATAAAGTTTGTCTAAGGCTAAGTCTAAGAATCCCTGGCCACTTTGCATAGAAAATGCGCCTTGTATCCAGGATCTTGTTCTTTCGGTCATGATCCAGATTTCATGGCCATAGGTGAGGTTAGAACGCAGACAGACTGGTAATGTCAAAGACTTTTACCTTCCGCCTCAGCTCTCTCTTCACCACAACAAACCGGTGCAGCATTCCTATTATAGCAGCAGCCACATGGATCCATCCATCAGTCTCCTTCTCCATTCTCCCCTCACTCATAAACAGGACCCCAAGACATGCAATCTCCTTCACTTGAAGCAGGAGCTCTCTTCAGCAAATGAAGGAGTTATTGAATGAAACAAATATTCAAGACATGAAACCTTGGATGCAGATAAGCATTTTTACTGATTTATTAACTAAATCAGTAAAATGAGGCACAGAAAAAAAGCCCAAATTATCAACCCGCCTTACACCATCACCAAAAGTTGTCATTTGTGTTATTGCTGTGGTTATTTCTCTTATATGCCTGTAATGTTTATAAAATACTTAATTATTTTCTGGACCTGAATTTGATTTTGTTCATGTTTTATACAATTTCAGAGCTTACGTTTTATGTAGATTATTATGTAACTTAGTGATTGTGTAGTTCCCATTTTAAATAATCAAAACCTTTTAAATAATAACCAAATTCTTTTCTACCTGCTATCCAGGTAACTATTATGGAACACCTAAACCCCCAGCAGAACCTAGCCCTGTGCAGCCAGATCTGGTGGACCAGGTTCTGTTCGATGAGGAGTTTGACACAGAAGTCCAGCGGAAACGCACCACATCAGTCAGTAAGATGGATAGAATGGACAGCACAGCTCCAGAGGAGGAGGAGGAAGAAGAGAGACCTCCTATGGTTAATGGTGTGGGAGGTGAGAAACTCATCTATCTTTAATTATTTCACAGCTTCCGTAGCTCATATAGTCTTATTTACTATTGCTGTGCTTATTTTGGTAGAAAGACAAGCTCTTTTAAGAGTCCTTTCTAATGCATTCTCTTTACAAGTGGATTATTTTAAGATGTTTTAATTCCTGTCATTGTGTAAGGTCAGTTAACTGCATCATTATTAAGCAGATGTGTGGCCAAAACATCTCTGAGGCCGAATATTGCAGCCTCTCAGAGGTAGAGATCAACTGTCCTTTTTTTTGAAGGATGTCCTTACATGATACAAAAACTGATTAGAGTCTGTCCTTCCTTTAAAATGGGTTAGTCTCAAAGCGCTTCCTCTGCAGAAATAAATCTAAAAGGCAAAAAACACTATAGATAATATTAAATCTTGTCCAGCGTTTTTTTTCTTTAGTGGGCTTATTGATGTGGTGTTATTTCAACATGTAGTTCCAACGTTGTCTTAAAATTCTCACAGGTAAAACCTTTATTTTTATGAATTTTTGTCCAGTTTAAATTGAAGCAGTTCAGCTTTGATGTGGGTTAGTATAGAAATGCAGTCCAGAATATTAAGATCTTTACAGAAGTGATGTAGTTTAGTGTCATCAAGAAGCAGAAAAACAAAGTAGAGTCATTAACAACTAATGGTTGGACAGGTGCAGTGTAGCCACAGTGATTACAGATCTGTCATGTCTCATTTTTCACCGATTCTTTTTCTTACCATGTTCCCAAATGTGGCCAGGTGAACAACATAAAGGTTTTTCTATACTAATCAAATGCTAATCAAACCGTCCATCCATAAACTAGACTAAAAATATATATATATATATATATATATATATATATATATATATATATATATATATATATATATATATATATATATATATATGAAATTCAACATGCACCAACTGTCAAATCTGTGGCTCATAAAGGCTTGCTTTTATTCCCTCAGACAAAGTCACATCACAGCAACTGGATAAAGCTTTATCAGCCAGACTTCGGTTTAATGGAAAAGATCTCAGCAATTTAATATTGCAAGATCTCATTACACCCTTAGCATAAATGTTAAAATAAGTTCAGGCTCAGCATTGCTCGATGCCGTTGTGACAGCCAGCTGAGAACATGCTATCTGAGGTAGATTAAGGACTTTTATAACTCTGAAAACCATCCGCATGTCGTCATGTAGCTGGTTTGGAACCCACAAATAATCTAGCAATGCCTTGAAGGCAGTTTTGCAATGCCCATTTATAACTGTGATGCCCATTTTTTTTTCCTTTTTGTGGTGCTTAAGTATTCATGACAGATTTATGAGGCTCACAATGTCAGTGATTCGCTTTACGTTTCTCCACAAGGGCCTGAATGAGCTCTAACCTGCAGTGCGGGTTGCACAAAGTCGAGTTTATATATAAAAAAACAACTCAATTAATTCAGAAACATCTCCATGTTTCCCTAACAATAAAAGGCCCTCGTTTGGGAAAAAAAAAAAGATCCTGATTTCCTCCAGTGGACAGACGTCACTCTCTGCTTCATGCCATTCACTCAGTCCTGCCAAACAGAATGAGCTTTCAATGTCATGTTAAAGCAAGGTCACATGGAGCCAGATGGAAACCTGAGATAAGACCCTCATGCATGCAGACTAGGCAAATGCACACACCCAAAAATCACACAAGAAGCGATACTGTGATACTAACAGAGCAGTGATGTGACGCTCCTGGCTGAGCTGAAGCGTTCTCTGCCCTTGCCTCCGAGGCAGTACATCCTTGCTGACATGCAAATCCTGTGGCAGTTGCGTCGCTTTCTTCCTCTTCCCGTATACTCTCTGTGTATCCCTCTCTCTCGCTTTCTCTCTCTCTCTCAACCCCTATAACTCCTGTTGATGTAAGCGTCCACACAGCGTTCAGGGGGAAAGCAGTCCGAGCAGCAGCAGCAACAGGGAGACATGCAAGGAGCCCAGACGAGCTCCAATGGCGCCACAATCTCACCTCCTATCTCTTTCTCTCTCTATCACCTCCCACACCCCTACTCCCATCCCATTCCTATCTCCATCTCTGTGCCCATGTCCCTGTCTACTTGTCGGGATGCAGAGCACAAGGACAAGGCAGACTGGAAGAAGACTGTGCCCAGCTACAATCAGTCAGCAGGAGCAATGGACATGCGTATCTGGAACACTCTGGATGAAAGTCAGGAGCCTTTGCCTAAAAACTGGGAAATGGCCTACACGGAGACCGGCATGGTCTATTTTATAGAGTAAGTAGCCTGCCTTGTTTTTATTACACCTCTGTCCTTATCCATGCTATATCTACTTCCTGCTTTCCCTGTTCCTCTTTAATGTCGGCCATCATTGAAAGTTCTTGAATGAGTCGTTGACACAGAATTCCCTTTCCTTTCCTTGGCTTGGACGAGTTTATGTTGATGAGCATTTTCCCAATGTAGCATCTCAATGTGTTTCAAATGTGTTTTAATAAGCTGTCATACAGTCTAGAGATAATCCAGGTGACCCTTCCTCTCCCATCTGACCGGTTCAAGTCAATGGTTGACCCAAGATTTTGAAAGCCCCTGAAATTTCCCCTAATATTTAATTCTGATATTTGGGACGTTTCCCCTTTCATTTCGATACAAAGACAGCCATGGACAACAGTCCATAGAAACAATAAGGTCTGATGTAAAACTTTCTCATGGTTGATTCCCCTTCATTGTGTCTTTTTCTATTTAACCCAGAAACATTTGATGGAATTAGGCTTTTGATGCTATGGGTAACCTTGAGGGGACAACAAGCAGTAAATGTCCAAGCATCTTGATTTGAACTTGAAAAACCTCCATCCAAGACTACTGCCTCAATATATGTTGCCTGTCAATCGCTGAGCCTCTCTGCAGCCACTTCCTTTTATTAACAGATTTCTTCAGCACTGATGGTGGCTGAGGAGGCCATGTAATCATTTAAATCAAGTGTAATGCAACAGAAAGACATCTAAAACATACAGGGTTATTATAGTTGAGGACTAGGATTGAGAACGGATGCCCTAGAGCAGAGGTCTTCAACATTTTCCATGCCAAGGACCACCAAACTGATGGCGAGATGGAGCCGGGAACCCCCAAAATATTGTATGAAACTGTGTTATATCAAACAGTTCCTGTAGTCACTGTATTACAGATGGAATAATGTAACAAAAGTAAATTCGCCCTGGGATTATTAAAGTATTTCTGATTCCTGGTTGATGGGACAGGTGTTGTGAATAAAACGGTGCCCAGCTTGAAAGAGCTCCTATGTGTCACTGAATGTGTGCATTGATGAGTGAAAGACATCTTCTGTCTCCATTTATCTGTTTACTACAGTGTGTTGAATTCACGTTAATGGGTTTTTAAAGACATTTCAATTAGTGGAAAAAAATTGCAGGGGGGAATATAAAAAAAAGTCTAATCAAGCAAAACTTTCGCGACCCCATGCAGCACCTCTGTAGACCCCCTGTTGAAGACCTCTGCCCTAGAGGGTTAATGAGATATTTTTCAAAGAAATATGAGAGACACCAGACCTACCAATGCAGAGGAGCTGGACACCTCAGAGGTTCAACAGGCTGAGCACTACAATGCCACAATATATTTATACAAAGATTTCTGACTATATATTTATGGCAATGAACATTTTATGTTCATTCTATGTATAGACTGAACATTTTATGGAAATATCTGACTAGTCTGAGACAGTCAGCTATGGGATGCCCTAAAATCAAGAAATTCAATAAAAATGAACAAATCCTGATTAAAATCCCAACCAGGTTAGCCTTGAATATTTTCACTTTGCCTATAAAAATGTTGTCGAAAATAGTCTTTGTTAATCCAGAATCATTATTCCAAATTTAAAGATGTTGGAATATAGGATGAACTGGTCAGATTGTGGACTCCAACTGCTTCTCAACTACATTTAGATTGAGTTGTCCTTACATCACTCTGACACTCATCATTAACCGTAGTTTAATGTTGTTGGAAGGGAGGTTAACCAAAATTTCTCAAATTATCTAAAGCAACATTTGTATTTAGTTGGAGAAATTTGTGTTTATTCAGAGCCCTGGAAAGGACTTAAAGTAACTATTTTATGATAAAAGAGGCCTTACAAAATATTCCAACAGTTAACATATCTTAATGAAAGGATAGCCTGGCTAATTAAGCTAACAGCTTATCAAACTCACGGTGTTACTATATAAAGCATGGAATGACAGAAGAACAGTTTGGGACACCTCGTCAAAAAAGTATTGCATTACCATAATATTTTACATTCATGCAGTAATGGAATGATGCAATAAATATAATATTATTACATTTCCTAAGGCGGGTAACATTTTACAACCAAAAGACCCTCATGCATGCAGACTGTCTGTTTTGAAAAAAGGAAAATAGTCGATCTACTTTCCTACTCTCATCTATGGTCATTAGCTCTGGGTCTTGACCGAAAGAATGAGATCCCGGTTACAAGCGGCTGAAATGAGTTTTCTCCACAGTGTGTCTGGGCTCTCCCTTAGAGATAGGGTGAGGAGCTCAGTCATCCGGGGAGGACTGAGAGTAGAGCCGCTGCTCCTCCATATCTACAGGAGCCAGTTGAGGTGGCTTGGGGATCTGATTAGGATGCCTCCTAGACGTCTCCCTGGTAAGGTGGTCCAGGCATGTCCCACTAGGAGGAGGCCCAGGGGAAAAACCAGGACACCCTTGAGGGACTATGTTTCTCGGCTGGCCTGGGAGCGCCTTGGGATTCCCCCGGAGGGGCTGGTCGAAGTGGCTGGGGAGAGGGACGTCTGGGCCTCTATACTGAAGCTGCTGCCCCCCGCGATGTCGGTTAAGATGAACATTCGGACACGGCCTTAAAAGAATATTCCCTTTTATATCAGGAGAAGACTGTGTTAAAACAACAGAAGACGGCAAGATGGCTACAACAATCCATTGTCCAAGTGGCTATACTCGCATTATTTAATGTCAAAATAGATGTTATTATTGAAATAGTATAAACTGTCATGTTTATTTATTTCATTGAAATTTGACTTTTTTTGTTAAACTTTCTGTGACCGAACTTCACTCAGGAGCTAATAAATGATAATGATCCAGCTATTCATCACAAATTTTTGCGCACATTCATTTTTTAATATCTTGTCCTTAATATCTTTGGCAAATGTAACTAAAAAGTTTTCTGATTTATTACTTTACATTGATGTTATTGTCAAGAAACGTTACTTTCTAGAAAAGTAATTGTGATATGAAATATATAATATTTTGAAAGTAAGTTACCCAACATTGAAGAAGAGTAATATTATTCAACAAAATGGGAATTCCTTATTAAATTCTACATTTATATTAATGTCTGTAATGTGCCTTTATTTTTACTTGCTGGATTTCTGTCTTTTGAGTATTAGTAAAAAAAAAATAATAGTATAAATGGCAATAGGAAACTGCTAAATAGGGCTTTCAGAGGAATTCATAGTAACATTTATTTTTTTTTTGTTGTAAATCAAATCATTTTTTGTACTAAAATCATTTCGATGTGCTTTAATGAAATAAAACCATTTCATTTTTCCTCAGTGCTTTTTTTCCCTGTTGCATCTAGCAAGCTTGTTGGAAAGCTGCTCTACGACCAGAACGCTCAGCAAAGGCAGCTACATTTTTCACAATTAAGTTTTTATTTTTTTCTTTAGCTTTCCCCTTTGTTAGATGTGGAGTTTGCTGGCTGGCACTGAAAGCGGCTGGCCAGCATTGTTTACCGGGGCCTGTTAGAGTGGCCGGCAGTCAATGCCGAGCCTCTGAGAGAGCCAGGTGCTCCTGTTTGCTGCTAAATCAATAGCTCATTCTGCCAGGGAGAGAAGCAACGGGCTAAATGGGGCTCACCACCCTTGACCTGCTCTCTCATTTCTGCTCTTTATGATCTCTGGAATGGCTCAGTTTTTCCTTTCCTCTTGTCTCGACTCATTCTCTCTTTGTCTCGTACACTAAAGCCTCTGAGCTTTGTTAACATTTTGCAGGTATTGTTAAAAGCTTCCAGAAGATCACAAAAGTTTGAATATTTATACATATTAATCCTTCTCTTTTTTTCCTTACGCTTTTAGTCACAACACAAAGACCACCACCTGGCTGGATCCCCGTCTTGCCAAGAAAGCCAAGCCTCCAGAGAAATGCGACGAAGGAGGTGAGTTTTTACATCACACGTTTTTGCATCCTCCCTTTCGTTGTAGTAGTCTGCTCACGATCAGAGCCTCTCGGGATGGGGTGCAGGCCGACAGGAAGAGGCCGAGCAGTCGAGCGGTCCTGTTCAAGGCCTCGCCGGTGACACAGCACAAACCTCCAGTCTGTCTGTCTTCCCCTAACAGCTTCCATGGACGCATGCAGAGAGCTAATCAGTGCAGCATCTCTCAAAAGGCAATTTTCTCCTGCCCTCTCTTGCGTAAAGACCCCCTCTGCTCTGCATGTGTTGTGTCAGACAGTAATGGAAAGTCGGGATGTTGCACACGTACAGTAAACGCCAGCAGAGAGACAGAGGATTTGTTATTAGGAACGTGTGAACTTTAAAAGGCATTCTTGCTCATTTTGATGTAGAAAGGATATCCACTGTGCACATTTCCAAAACGGAAACCTCCCCTGGAGAACACAGAGGCAGAATACGGGACTGAAAACGTTTTCTTTATAGAGTGGGGAACATGCTGGGACTCAATTTAGTCTGGAAAAATAAGGATCTGATATAAGTTAGCTTAGTTTCAGCTCTTGATTGGAATGCAATCCAAAATAAGTTAAATAAACATCTTTAAATTAATGTATTTGCCCTTCATTGAAGGACGGAAATTAGATGATCTACCAGTGGAATGAGTATTTCTGCCCTTAGAATATTATATTTAGATAGTATGTACTTGAAATAAGATAGTGGAGTTGTTGTTTTAAAGATAAATCATCTTATTCTATTAGCAAATTTTCTTAATTACCTGATCAAATCAAAAATTTCCAAAAATTCTTTTACAGTGTGGACCGTCTATCCTTCCAGCTGTCTGTCTGTTACACCTCTATTCAGATGACATATATACATGTATTGGGACTGATGCATTATCTCTACCTGTTTCTTCTCCTCCCCCCCAGAGCTGCCCTACGGCTGGGAGAGGATTGAGGACCCCCAGTTTGGCACCTACTACGTGGAGTGAGTAAACCCTGTTCTGTTCTTTAGGATGCCCACTGGGCTGCAGCTGTGAAATAAGCTCAATGCAGATGAAATGGCAAACAGTATGCTCTGATTCTGACTTTTTATGAAAAGCTGCACCAGAATGGATCCTTTACAGCTGTTTTTTCCCCAAAAATTAGGTTGTCTCCTCTTGCTTTAGATTGTTTGGGTTGTTTTAATATTTTTAGCTATAAAATCTGCACACAAGGGTATATCGTTATGTTATGCTGTTTTTCAAACTTCAGGTTCCCACAGGTCTACAGGAAAACAATAATGCACAATTTTACTTTGGAGCTTTGTCTCTGTATGCGGAGGAGAGGATCTGGAGGATATAACACACAATGAAGGTTTGGGGGTCCCAAAGAGGGAAAAACAAAGAGACTCCATTCTGATGGAGAGTGTAAACAAGAGGACTTTGTTTCATTTTAGTCCCATTACTGCGTACAAAGAGGCATAGACGTGTGGGCACGGGGGAAATCATCACGCCGGGTTATGCAGGAGGGTCACTGAGAGGCGTTCGCTCCTCCGCCGCCGTCCTCTTTGTCTGGCTATTTTTTATTCCAAATAAACGACCACGATGTGACACCAAGTCCAATTATTCCCTGAATCGCGAGGCGTGTCGAAGAGAGAGTGAGAAAGTGAAATGGTGAACTGGGAAATGACAGAAACAGGAGTGTGTGTGTGTGTGTGTGGGGGGGGGGGGTGTTTATCTCCTCAGACTTAATGGGCTGGGCATCTCAGTGTATGAGTCATACGCAGCGAGAGCGCTTTGTGTTGAAGGCGCACACACATTGTATACCGTCAGCCTCTCAGCATGTGAAGGATTCACCAAGCAGTGTCATGGCTGGGATTTCTGCTCATTATGCAGATGAGCTACAGCCGTTTTAACAATGAAGCACACCAGGTTTTAATTTTCGGTTTTTACATGACAGAAACATTCAATTTAACCCCAGGTGTAGAAAAAAAACCCCACAAGAAATGAATGTAAGAAAACCTGGGTGTAACTCTGATGGTGCTGCCTCTCGTCTAACTGGTTCACATTGAGCAGATGAATCACAGCCCTGTTTCCTCCTCTGGATGTAGCTCTATGCTCCTACTTAAATGGTCTTGATTAACTAAAGATCAGCAGAACCTCTTTATAAAAGCAGGAGTTTTTCACTTTTCTTAATTTACTGTAATCATGAACATATGCCTCAACAAAATGCTGAGTCACTAAGGCGGCCTAAGAGAAGCGACAGTTGATTAATCTGGGATTATAAGAGTCATTTATTTTTTTTCCATAAACTCACTCTGTTTTGCAAAGCCACATCTGAGGTAGAAATCTTAGGGGGGAAAATGCACAGGGCTATGTTATTATCTGCCCCATACCTGTGCTTCAGAAAGCCGCAATTAATGGCGAAAACTTGTGTTTTAAGCCTGAGGTCCATCTTTTCAACTATTTCCTCTTTTTGCCACTTAGCAACCATAAAGCAAGAAAGCTAAACTATATTAATCAACTGTTTGTGATGGATTTGCAACACATATTATAAGGATAAGGGCTGAATGATTTTGCCAAAAATTTTAATAGCGATCATTTTCAGCCAATATTGAAATTGCGATTTCTTTTTGATTTTCCTTAGCGTGAAAATCACCTTAAAAGTTTGACTTAGACTTTAGATAGATTTTATTTGTCATTTTGTTTACACAAGTGTAAAACAAAAAGAAATTTCGTTTGAAAACAGTTCACTGTACAATTTCATCTTTTTAAAAGTGCAGCCTTGAAAAATAGTAAAAATGACTGTAAATTTACAGTTATAAAATTTTTTTAATAAAAAAAGTTAATAAAAGTTTGCTTGTCCAAAGTCTGTACTCTAACCTTTGTGTGTATAAGTGCTTACTTCTACTTGCATGCATGGATTTGCGTGCTAGCTACAAATCCCACTCTCTTTCTGTGTGGTGACAAACCCACTCAAACAGTATTACCACCACATAAAGGGCTGGAGTGAAAAAAAACTGTCTTACTCCTGTTAAATGTAATGTTGTAAAAATCGAGAGTCTCTGCGATTTCTGATTTGCTTTTTGTTAAATTGAAATTATATCACACATGCAATTAATTTCTCAGCCCTAATCAGGATGGAGGAACACAGCAGACAGTTTAGGGATAATATTAGGAAGGAGTTTAGTTTTTAAAGTCATATTGATTGCTTTTAACATCACTTTTATGGGTTCTATTTCAAAATATTTGGTTAAACTTTGACATTGTTTTCCATTAATGTTCTCCATTAAAAATGTGGGTTTTTATCTATTTAGCAAATAGGGATGGGCTGAAATGCGAGTCTCTCATTGAGTAACCAGCCATAAATATTCCCCAAAGCATTGCAGCTTAGCTTTAATTAAAGCAAAACAAGACTGTTTCTAAGAAAACTGAGCTTTAATGCCAATATGCATCATACTTATCAGATATTTATTTGGGAAAGGCTCATATTTTTTTGCTTCCACCTCAGAGTCACAGACCAGTTTCTGTTGGTCTACCACACAACAGTTTAACAAAATACATTCAATATTGTGGTTGTAAGATGGCCGATGGGAAAATAAAATTACAAAGGGGAATTATATATAGAGCTTCAGCACGATGCTGAATCTTCCAGGAAATTACAGCCCATTTGGCAGGAGGTTTCTGATCATCTTGAAATCATTCAGCTCATCTGTAATGAAATCTGCCCACATCAGTGCCTCTTGTCCACCTCCTTGGCGCCTCATTTAAGGTCAGAACAGTTTGTTCTCAGGCCAAATGTCTGCCTGTCATTCCAGTTTTTATATTAAGTTCTTTTTGGCCTGTTTTACTCTCTTAGCTGCTCGGGTTATATAATATTTCCACCAGATTTGGCAGAACTTTTCACTTTTCTCAAATTTACCAATATTCTTTTTTTTTTTCTATTGGCAAAGCTTATATCTGTATATTACCCCCTGTATGTATATTTTCATGTTTTAAATCTGCTTCGACCATTTTCTAAAAGGGAAAATGAATTGAAAAAAGGAATTTTATATTTACTTCAAGAAGGCCACATCGACTTTTAGCACAAAGCTTCATTTTCTTCCTTAAAACTGATTAAATCATTTTTTCAGTGATCAAACAAAGCGTGTTTGACTTTTTGATCCGACATGTTTGGGTTTGCAGGTCACATGATTAGAAATGTGAAAGCATGCCCAGCAGGAAACGCCCCACTCAGTTTTTTCCCAGTCAAATCAGAGCTTTGCATCAATAGCAGAGAGCAGCAACAACGGTGACCTGCCATGTGTAGAAAGACCAAATAAAGGCTTTAGATTAAGATCTGTGAAATGAAGCTTGTTCTAATATGTCAGCATTTTGTTTTGTTGAGCTTCTTGTAACTTAGTATTGTTTTTATTTACATTTGCAGTCACATCAACCAGAAGACACAGTTTGAGAATCCAGTGATGGAGGCAAAGAGGAAGCAGAGTGGGGACACGTCCACTGCAGCGCAGCCGCCAGCGGCCGCACCCTCAGGTGATACTCTCAGGAGCAAAACGCTGAAAGTTTATTTGCACCGAGAAACAATCTTCTGTCAGATGAAACCTTTGTCCTTTTGAAAGAGGAAAATCCACAAGAATTAGATACGAGTCGATGTTTTTGGAAATCGTCCAGCGGAACCCCTGGTTATATATTCAAATCTAGTGAAAATGAACATTTAAATACAGAGCTTAGAAAGGAAACTTAAGCTGTTCTCATATGCATCTTGATCTTAAAAATGACAGAAGGACTATAAACTGCTCTAGAGCACCGTTTCCTAAGGTTTTAAACCCGATCGAATATAAATACACTAATTATTTAAAGTATGGGCAATGATTGAAGAAATATTTTACTCTACTTATAAAGACATAAACATGCTCTTTAATACCTCTCAAAAAATAGAACCGGTAAGGAATTGATACAAAATAAATCTGGACGTAATTACTCTACACTAATTACTAATTATCTTTAAGATACTGTTTCATTTCTACAACTTTTACAGAAGAAAAGTTGGAGTTTCTAAGTTTTCCTTGCTGTAAAGTCACATCTCCTGCGTATTTCCTTGTCTTTTTTTATTTTATTTATTTATTATTATTCTTTTTCCAGTGTCCTGTATGACGATGTGGCAATAAGAATAATTGTCAAAAAAAGAGCCCAACAGATTTTGCTTTCACAAGTGGAGCAGTACGGCTATCGCCATAGTGTTCAGCTTGATTTATGCATATAAATTGCTTTATTATAATTATGCAGGGAGTATTACGGATTATATGGACACTGCAATGTAAGTAGAACAGGAAAAGAAAAACAGAAAAAAAGGAGAAAAGATGAAAGAAAGAGGAGATAAAAGAGAGATAACGATAAGACGTTTTCAGTCTGCTTTATCACCTGCAAAGAGATGTAAAAAGAACAGCACAACCAACAGATATAGTACAAGAGATACAATAAAGTAACACCTTGATACTATCGCTGAAGTATAAGTTATATTATTTAATCTAACATATATTTCCTTGTCTTTTAAATGAGGGAGACCGAGTTGAAGTCATAAGTAGGATTTGCGTCTGCTGTCTCCTGTTGGTCTGAGAGTCCCAAGGGTTAGGAATGAAAGACATGAGGAAAGATTTTACTTGGGGTGCACCGATTCATCCGCCGGCTGACTGGTTAGCCGATACTTGGATGTAAAGCCGATCTACTTCTGCAATGCTCTTAAAAACCACCGACTGTCATTCTCTAAACCTTGATTTATATTTTAGAGCAGTTATTTAACAGGTTTTAACAGTTTTACTTGGACTGTTTTTTTTTCAAGATAAGACTGAAATATAGAAGATGTCTTATGTTCTTATAGCAACTGACAGTGCTTGTTATAAAAAAAAAAAAGAGTATTGGTCATATACGGAAAAGACACATCAGGCTTTTTAATTACTGTTATCTTAATCATCCGTAAACCTGCAATCAGTGCACCCTTAAGATTTACATATGCATGAGTTTTAAGGAAGACTTGTTAATTTTTTAAACGTTATGTTAACAAACCAATATTTGTTGCTAATTTAACCATTTCTGCATGTCTGCTGAGTTGAGAGACTCGTTTCTTGCACAGTTTTGCTAAAATTCAATCAACCATTATTTCTTTTTTAATTAACAATGACTTTGGCCCCCCAAATTAAACCATGCTCAGGGGCTCGTGCAACCTTGGTTTGCCCCTTTGCTGCATGTATTTATGGATTATTACCCTTCTGTTTAATTAAGCATTTACTATGGGCTGTGGCTCTACAGGCTTTGTCAAAGATGCATAAATCCTTCACTGTTTTTCTGCTGAAAACATCAGCTGCAGTAGATTTACTTTCTTCCAGGAAACTATTAGAGATCCTCAAGGTGTATTTTTTTTTTTTTTTTTTTTTGGGTTCATAATGTAATGGCTTAAGCTTGTAGTCACTGAGATGTGAGAACTTGGCAGGATTTGCTGTAAGTCTGTAGCATCATTCATGCCTGTGGTCCATAATAACATCCTGCATGGACGACGGCATTGCTAACACAGATGTTCCCGCCTTACACCTCCTATAACACCCTCTATATTTGTTATCCAAACACTGGGGGTCTTTTCATCATCTGCTTTAGGATGAAATGACTTTCTGAAGGATGTTCTAATGGTTGGCGGGCTGCTGATAAACAGCTTATAGCCTTGGAAGCTATGATATTCAATTTGAATAATGAAACGCCGCTTCGCCGGCCGGCAGAATTTATTTTGACAAGTAGATTGGGAATAGGGACGGCACTGAGGTCTCTTTGAGCGCGGCTTTAGCCACCTGTCATTCACATCCGCTTAGAGATCTCTTCAGACCAGAGAAAAGGTGCCTGCGAAGAGGAATGGCAGTGCAGAGCGGTAACTGCAGTTGTGTGTGACTTATCATCATAAATTGCTTTTCTGCTGGGCCGTCTGCTCATCATGTCCCACATGCGGCGAATGCTGCAGCCTGACTGATATAATCACCGGCCGCACCGTAATGGCTGGACTCTGATAAATGGAGGCCCCATGATGTAAAAAGCAGCTGAAGTTATTACAGCCCTCCGAGTGTGCGTACACAGAGCATGTCTGCATTAGTATTCAAGCTGGCCTCCGTATTTCAGACACCTCTCGGACAGATCCGTCGGCCTCAGTCTGCTGCGTTCAGATCCAACCTCCCTCTGCTGCATGTGTGTCGGCCAAGCCGCCCCCAGCTCTAACTGCCCACCCCTGCACCTTCCCACCCTTGTTAATGAGAATTAATGGCCAGTGTGAACATGTGTGAGGTGGCTCCCGAGCGCAGTTTTGACGAGCCTGACCTGTCAGACAATGGCGATGGAGCACAGGAGCAGAGCCCGGCGCTGTGTTCCGGCCGTAATTACAGCACTGACAATCCTGTCAGATATTTCACATAATCACCCCCCCACCCCACCCCTGAGAAAACAGGCTGTCCCATTGTGGCCCAGGGCTTAATCTGCGCCGTGTAAACATAGCTTTGGTGTGTCGCCTCCGCTTTCCGACTAAGTTTCTGTCCATGCTGCTTTAATGGGGATCATTTAGGAAATAGTTGCCTTTTTTCTGGCTCAGCGTGTGAAAATGTCCTACCTGCAGCAGACACGTTTCAACAATCATCAAAATGAACTGTAAGGCTTGTAGGGCTTATTTCAGGGTCTGCACCATCTTAAGTCTATAGAATTTTTTGAAAAATCCTATATCTTTTGAATGTCTACTCACCATTCTAGGACATATGATAAATATCTAACATTTTTTATGTGGGTTTGAGGATGAAACCTGCATATTTTGGCTGTTAGTCAAACATCCATCCTTCTTACCGTTCAACCATAATCTGGCTTGAAAGATAGAGGACTGCAATTTACAAATGGAAAACGTATAGGTGGCCCTCATTAGTATTTGCGTCTCTTCTTTTCTTTTTAAAAGCAGTCGCATTCATAAGCCAATTGAGATGCACTTATGCAAATCAAAATCCCATGACACTGCAAAGCTGGGAGAGCGGTGTGGGAGGCAAGGAGGACTACTTTCTGCACTGGCTCTGTAATGAGATTGATGTTGAGCTGTCTATCAGTGAGGGAACCTGGCAGGGGCGAAGTGCGGCCTGCGGGGACCCAGCAAATAACTCAAACTCTCACAGGGGAGGGGAGGCTTGGATTTAGTTAGAAGTCACCTCTCTGTGTCAGGGCTAGCTCTATTTCTTTCTGGCTCATCAATTCTTCCCTTTACCCTCTCTATAGCTTAATATAACTTGTTTTCTTATTTCTTTCAAGTCGATATGATCATTAACTTGCACCACGGAGGAAAATTGCTATAAGAAGTTTTCAGAAAACATCTTTTACATATTTATGTCTGCAATGAAGTGTACAGTAGTGTTGGGGAGCAGTTTATTTACATTCTGCTAGGAAGATGAACAGGAACTGCTTATTAATTTGGGGCATTTAAAGATTCAGTGTTGAGTTTTCTGGCATCCAAACGAGGTGAAAGACTGTGTGTAACACAGAGCAGTGGGTCTGTTTAAAGAGCAGTCTGAGAGATTTGGATAAAGGTTCTTCAGCGCCCAGATTGTGAAGCACACACTGGTGGGACATCTGACCATCCCGCTCTTCAGAAATTCGAACAGTTCCATGCACAGACCTGATTCTTTATCTTAGTCTATACAATTTGAATTGGTAAATTGTTCGGTTCTTTGAAGAAGCTTACAGTTGGATTACATTTTTTTTTCTGACCCCAGTTTTAATGTGTGTTTGATGTTTTGCTGGAGCAATATTTATTATTCTGTTATCTAGATTTGAAGGTGAGCTGGTGAATTTGGATGAAGTTTTTCCTTTTTAAACCTCTGCTGCTGAAACAGACCCTCAGCATGATTCAGTCACCATCATGCTTGACATTTGAAAAGATGTTGTCAGGATTAAACACCTCCACTTTACTCCTCCTCCCAAATTTGGATAAATATTCAAGTCATTATTTTCTGACGAGAGCTGCTTCCTTGGATCATCACCTACTCTGTCCAAGTTTGACCCTTGGTGGTTCACAACTTGTTCCTACTTCTCTCGGCCAAATCCTTAGTTTGGTTTACATAATTTCACCTCTGTATTCAGACAGTTTAAAAACAGACTTTAAACAGACTAATTAAATGCATTAATCAGACTAACAAAAAACATTAAACTGACAACAGACTTTAAACAGACTAACAAAATGTTTTAATCAGACTGACAAAAATCTTTACAGACTGACAACATGCTTTAAACAGACTAACATCAGACTTTAAACAGGCTTACATGCCTTCAACAGACTTTGAACAGCCTAAACGCAGGCTTTAAACAGAGTCACAACTGAATAACAGACTTTAAACAGGCTTACATTCTTTAAACAGACTGACAACATCTTTTAAACAAGCTGACAACAGTGTGTCAACCTGTTTAAAGTCTGTTCTCAATGTTGTTTATTCTTTTGTCACTCTGTTGTCAGTCTGTAAGTTTGTTTAGGC